TTAAAATAAATGGCAAGGGACTATACATCCCAGCGCGAGACTGCTGAAACCATCAGAAAGCGGTGACATCTTTGACACCGGTGCGGTAGTTCATCCATTAGAAGCATTGACTCGGCGTCTGTAGCACCCCTTGAACCCCCTGCTTCACTGACTCCCTTGCCAATCGTACCCCTCATGATCGGTGGAATTCCGATTGGCCTACATTGCCGAAGCCACGGTTCCACTGATGGGTGGTAGCCAGCGTAAACGGCCACCCCAAAAAAGACATCAACACATCTGACACAGCTTGGTCTTCGTTGTGAAGTCGTAGCAACGTACTGAGCCGCAGGGCACCTCAGTAACATCAATCACTGAATCAGCCGACTGTCCAGTTGTCTCAGGACAAAACAGTCCTTGATATTTCTTCAGTCACTCTTAGAAGCATTTCACATGTTCGTCGGCAAGCTCAACTCACCATACGCTCAGCCCATGCAACAAGTGCTCGATAGCCTATGTCCCAGTACTTGCAAGTTTTCAGCAAGTACTATTACTCGACTATTCATAGTACACAATGATGGGGCCGACATCTTGCGTTCACTACCATTGAACGCAGTAGTGTTTTTTGTATGCCAACCTGTTTTCTATCTCCCCATCTTCTAATTTCTCATTACCCTTTCGACCATTGTAGGATAGCGCATTGGACGCGGGTCCGGTTAACCTACCTGCCTTTCCTTCCTTTTTTCCTCTTCCTTGACTAGGGGTGTTAGTCGACGGCATGCAGATGTGCCGCTATGAGTTAACTTTTGTGTGTGCACATTACGCGGTGCTTTAACTGGCAAACATCAAGGTATCATGTACAAGTTTGCAAACTAATGTGCAACGTACACATATAACTACTTTTATGACGCCACTTTTTACTTTCGTATTATATTGATTACTATGACTGAGAGGGAAAGGTCAGCCATCTTTTCCTGTTATTGTCAGCCTGAATGATTTTTCTCTTGAATTGGTCGCCCTGCATCGAAAGGACATCAGCTTCATGAAACGTAGGCAAGCAATAACACTGGGCAATGTGTCCGGATGCTCGCGAGTGCACATATCCATGCGAGGCGTAGGAGTACAAGCCAGGGGGGGGGAGGGGGCAAGCCAAGGAAACGAACAAATAAGCCGTAGACACTAGGCCGAAACGTCGAAATAAACCGCGTTGTGGTCACTCACGGAGGATCTACTTGACTACTTGCAACGATACGGCCACTCAACAACCATGCCTGCCTATATATATATACCGGCTCACGAGTGAGGTAAACTTGCCCCCCCCCCCCCCCACTCGCGAAAGAGGTGGTACGCCACTGCTGCGAGGGTCGGCTATACTCCCGGAACCTGATCTCGATATGCATGTTTTAAGGCTTTGGTAGACTCCGTCACACGAAAACGGCAATATATATTGCAAACTACTTCGAAAATAAAATGAAAGAGCCACTTTAATATCCGTTATGTTTTTGAACAACTCTCAGCAGGCGTTTATCCCGTTTAAGCTTTACGGTAACCCTGACACTGCTTAATCTATTGGACATCGAATAACTACTCTGACTAAAATTTGTAGTTGTGGGTCTAAAATCAAGTTATGCGAATATGGAAACACCACCCGAAATTCGCTTCCGATCCGCTGCTGAATGACCAAAAATTTTCTTTGTGCTTAGTTTCACTTGCTTGTATAGATTGTCAATGATTGGCTGTACGACGTGCCCCTTAGCCTCAGCACCTACTTGGAGAGGCTAAAGCACCTTTGATACACGGAGGCCCAAACACCGCCAAACGCAAACAAGAGAGACCGATCTGGTCTTCAGAAAAGTTTGAACAGCCTAACATAAACTCAGCTCCCCACACTTTCCTTCTTACCAGGTGTCTAGGAACTCTAGCTGGGTGTTAGGAGTAGCTCATGCGTGAATTCTTTGTACCTTGTTCTCGCTCTTCTCTCTTTCTCTCACAACGAAACATCAATTTGAGAGCTTCCACATTATCAATCACTTTTCAAGAACGAAGCTGCTGAAGCCGGCCTGCAAAAGCCGGCTTGCTGCAAAAAAGTTCCATCATTATTAACAGGTTCACGACACTGAAATGAGGCAAATATGCCTGCTCAACGCTGATTCCGCATAGTTTGATAGCCTGATTTCAAATCCTTCTTACATGACAAGATGAGGTCCACAAGCGCCCTAGCCATCTTGAAACAAGCTGGCATAGAACCATGGCAATATTTCTTTTTTCAACCTTTAATCGCCAGGGTCACCGACACATGCAGAAAGCTAAACAAAGTGAGCGGATGGGACTAAACACGCCAGGGAGAGATGACCAGCCACCAAAACAAAAAGAGACTATAATGCTTCGGCATAACGTCCCAACTTTAAACGTAGTTCATTTTATGCCTGTATATTAGGTTGTTTGACACTTTTTGCAAGCTGCGAGCTCTTTGTATTGCTTTTTTCTGAAACTGCAAATTTTGGTCTCAATGATGCTTCGCAAACACTCATAACTTCTCTCTCAGCGTAAACTCTGAACTCAAATTTCGAACAATTAATAAACACCTGAACATACTAGCAGTGAAAGATAATAAAAATTTATAGAACATTTTTGAATTTACAGCTGAATTTTCGAACAGGCTCAGTCTAAGGTGCCTCTTTCTTCGACGTTTTTTTTTTGTTTTGTGACATGTTTTTTGATAGTTACTGCATAAGATATATGCTAGTTCACTGCACAGCGACAAATTATTAGTTACTTGGAAGCCAAGGTTTTACTGAATGACGCTACCCCTTACTCACATATTACAGCTGGCGTGCATACTACTTTATTGCAATTTTTGACACAGATTACCTCCCAATAAATAAGCAATATTTTGCAGCGTAAATGACTTGTGAAGATATATAATACATGCTTGTCTTGAACGAAAAGATATTTAACGCTGACTGCTCCTAATTTTTTTTTTTGATGTTCAGTGGCCTATCCCCTTAACAGAGAAGCTGTTAAAGCTGAATGGGTGTCGTTGTCGTGGATTTTACACAAGGCCCCGTACCATTTACCATAAAAGAGTCATCGGTTCACGAGGATTCAGTGATTCGCAAAAGTTCCTCCACCGTTGGCCCTCAGCTTGTCCATTCGACGTTGGATTTTACTTTGTAAATGTCAAGCATCTCTGAGGCCATGAATTGAGGCCTCTCTGAGGCCTGTATCTCCACTCAGCCCACATCCGAATTGTACGTAATTCCTCAAATTCCCCATCAAACTCTTTGCGTTTTGATGTGTGCGTAATGGTGCTACCTCTCTACCTTTCTGGTATTTTTTTTATTTTTCTCTTCTTATGTTCAAGCTAGCCTGAGTTTGCGAGTGTCACCTGCCACAAATGTATCGTGAATGTGAACGAGAGTGTGCCGCGAGAACTAGATCGATGCCACTATTCCATTTCATCTTGACCTAATTGGTTGCAGCGTAACACTTACAAGCGAAAAGAAGGGTAGGAACAACACGACGCGTCCTTCTTTGTGTCTTTCTTTAGTGTCGCGCTGTAAGTTCAAGATTAATTCCAACCAACTGTACCAACTTGCGGTCCGACTGTTCACCACTGGTCTACTAAATGTGAATAATGCAAAATTTAGCCCAACAATATTTGTGAAATCAATGAGTAAGGTGACAAACTTGAATACGTAGAACGATAAATACTAGGAAACGGGATGGCAGCAACAGCTCCGGGAAGACCCTATACCAAAGGAAAGCTTGTACCGAAGACAACTAGCAAGTAGATCGATGGAAGGGGGAAACGTTTGGTTTGAGTGCGAGTTTCTGTATATAAGTTCGGACTCGCTTGTTGTGTGTAACGTCACCATCTATTCGTGATAACAAAAATCAAACAACACTTACCAAGATAAAGCCTAGTAATAGCCTAGAATCAATGTAGAAACAATGATAATTTAGCTCAGGCCTACAGGCTACGTAGAAGTAACCAGATAAACTCAAGGAATTATCTAGTTTTGGCGTTCCAGCAGCTGCGCTGCTTTGTGCAAGTGTCGCCCATTTTTTTTATTTAAAAAACTGCACTACATAATTTGAGTTGTCTATAGTACCTTTCCGAGATGCAGGTTGGCTGCTTCGAAATTTTATATTACGGTAACACTTTAAATCATATGATTTCGCTACTAAACTAGTACACACTTGTTAATGTAATCAGTTAGTTGACTTTCTCTTGCATAATGCGTATAATTGCTATTTCCTAATAGCCTACTGAGTTACTTCATGGACGAACAGCAAGAAAAATATGCTTCTAAAATTTGTGCATGACATAAGGATTTTAAAAAGTGTAAGCTGAGGCATTGACCTAACAATATTTGCATGGTGTAATTAGAAAGGTGCCTCTTTACAAAGACACATTTGTATAATGCAGCCATCATTATTGTATATGCTCACCTAGGTTTCATCTGAAATTACATGTATTACCAATACTCAGTCGGTTATATGTGCATAGACAGTGAAAACATTGACCAATTTATCTTACTGTTTAAGTCAAATATTGTAACGATATAACAAAACAAACCTCCAGTGCTAAGATAACACACGATCACGGATGTACTCCAATTTTCTACAAGATAAGAAGAATGTAATGAAACGTAAAGTTGTGAAAAACTTAAGTTACACACGGTATTATTTCAATTTATCTAAAACTTTACAGCACACATTCTTGACATCGAGCCCCGCCGCGGTGGTCTAGTGGCTAAGGTACTCGGCTGCTGACCCGCAGGTCGCGGGTTCAAATCCCGGCTGCGGCGGCTGAATTTCCAATGGAGGCGGAAATGTTGTAGGCCCGTGTGCTCAGATTTGGGTGCACGTTAAAAAACCCCAAGTGGTCGAAATTTCCGGAGCCCTCCACTACGGCGACTCTCATAATCATATGGTGGTTTTGGGACGTTAAACCCCACATATCAATCAATTCTTGACATCAATATTAACTTTGTGTGAATATTAAATACTACACTTACCCTGTTACAAAAATACATCATATCGAATGTTTTGTAAGTCTGGTTCTCAGCAGCGGCAAATGTCACGAGTTTCTGGAGGGATGCGTAAGCATCTATACCATAACCATCGTACACGTAGTACCTGCCTTCTTGCGTAGCCTGTGGAGGAAAGAGTTTTACTTCAGCATGGTTTGCGCACTGTGGACGTCTCTGTGTTGGAACAGTACAGTCATCTAAAAAGCACAACTTTGGCAATCTCTGACTCTTTCTTGATAGCGTCGATTATATGTTCCCGATACTCTCATATAGACACCTGATCGAAAAACAGTCACGTCACCCCACATAAAAGCATGTTATAGTCAAAAGGTCACACATATCTATTGAAAATCCTAGGTTGGTGGATCTTAGAATCATTGGTAGATATGGTAGAAATAATAGTGGATATGGTGGAAATATTAGTGGATATGGTGAAAACTGTAGTGGGGATATTGGCTGATGACGAAGAGAGTGAAAAAATGATGGCATAAGTTGTGGTGGCGAGCCAATGGTGGTGACGGTGAAAAACGCCAGCTGATGGCGGCTAGCGGAGACAAAATGATTGCAGATGGTGATGGTAGTGGCGAAAAAATGGTGGAGACAGTGGAAAATGCCGGCTGATGGTGGCGAGGCAAAACTTGTTTGGTGGAAGGCTTGGGGAGCAAGGTGGAGGACGGTGGCCTGATGGAAGCTTGGTGGATGGTGGTGGCTTGATGAAAATTCACATTACATTATGTGAAATCACTAATTGTGGCGTTTCATTCTCGTACGTGCAGAGATATATGTTTATTGTCAAGAGAAACCAACGCTGCTCATTACGCTTTCTAGCACGTTTATTTTTTTTATTCCAGTGGTGTCAACAACGCTTCATTTTTGTGGAGCGTAGAATATGCAGCCGTGAATATGTTTACATTTCGCGCACGTACTTACATCAGTTTGATATTCGCGGTGTTTCTTTGTTGTGGTGTTTAGAAAACTTGAAGTGTCACTGCAAACAGTGACAATAAATGTTTTACATCGGCGCGCAGTTGTCGAGAAATAAATAAGCTCCAGTTCACAATTTCTCATTTCAATGTTACAGCAGAACACAGCGGTCACTTGATGTCACCACGCTAGAAACGCAACCTTGGCAATTCTTGCCCACTCTATTGCTTGAGCCGTACTTTTCAGTTAACAAAGTGCGTGCGAGTATACGTAAACTTTCACTTTCGACATGCGTTGAGACGAGCCCCAGCGAACGTGACTTTCACCTTTCTGTTCTATCACCATGATTTCCACCAAAGGTTAAGCCTACCGACTGAGCCCGTACTGCGTTATCGGCACTTCTGAGTTTCAGAATGCAGAATTTTGACGAGTAAAAAAAAACAATACAGCACAGCTGTGGGATCATTTAACCTAAACGAAGCCTTTTTTTGTGTGTGCAGTGTCCGCGCAAGAAGCGACAATTATCGATGCGACGCGCTTGGAGCACTTCCACCAAATGTACGCCTCCCCTCACCGACGGCTGCCGGTCGCACTCGCCGGCACTTCACTCGCTCTCATGCGAGAACACAGACACGTCAATTCATATGATTACTGAAAAAATATGATAGCATAATGGTTCTGGCGCACTGCATTTGTTTCGACCAATCCATAATGTGGTTGTTTTAAACGACAGAGCAACACCTGGGCGCTGGCACAACTGCACTGTGCGTTGCGCGAAAAACATCACAATCAATTGTGTGGACGTATCTATCAAATGAGCGTAAAAGCGTCAGAAAGCCTGAACACATATCGCTATTTGGAAGGAACGAGAAACGGATATTAAACTTGGCAGTAACTGTTGATAAACTCTACCTGCTCGTCAGTCCATTGAGTTGTTTTTTTCTTGCAGTTGTAAATTGTAACAAAAACATAGCACTGTTACCATTATCGCAGTTACAATCGTTACAGGCAGCACTTGTTGGTGTTTATCAAATTTGAAAATGTTAGTACCTGGTGCAGATCCTGTCAATCTCGAGTAAGCGATTAACAAAACTGAAGTTAAACAGTGAGTTTATGAGTTGACTACTTCTTTAACACTATAATCGCCGTCTGTCGGCGTGGCTAAGTGTTTTGTCTGCTCAGTTAAAAATACGAAGGTGGCAGGTTGGATTCCGCGCTGTCACGCATGTTTTTGCGGGTGCTTTCTATGTTGTTTTTATACAATTATTTTTATTATTTCTTTAGTGGCAGCTTGTGACGGTGGTTCTGACGCTGCTTCGCGCTCCAGCACTGCCGGGTGGAGCGTGCTATTGTGAGGGATAAGGTTCGAGTAATCTCGGCAACTTAAATAATCGTTGTCGAGACTGACGAAGACATTTGCAACTTGAGTTATAAGGCTTTAATGCCACAAAAAGAAAAAAAAACGATAATGAAGCTTGGCGTGTTACATGGCAACAGCGAAGAACTGCCTTAGGTACGAGCACGACACACGTTCTCGAAAGACAAGGTCTGACGCTTAGCGTAGTCCCCCACTGCACTACACAAGGTTTGAAACACTTCACCGTGTGACGTCGAAGGCAGATGAGTCGATGCGTTGCGTTGCGTCTTACGCCGACATCAGCGATGACTCAGGCATGGTCGGAGCGGAGCGTGAGGCAGAGTCGATGTGTGGCAAGCACGTCCCGGACAGCCAGTAGTAGGCCCAGGTCTGGAAAACGCCCGGATCCGAGTACCACGGACCGGCGCCGGCTGCTGGATCACACGGTAGAAGGGAGCCAGGCTCGTGCGGAACACAGGCACAGGTAGGCTTCGGGACCACGACCCGACGAGCGCTTCAGCCTGCCACTGCTTCGTTCGGATCCTTCTTCTCGAACGCCCCCTCGTCGTCTTCTTCTTCTCTCTCCCCATGGCTTGGCTTGACTTTGACGACACGATTCCGCCTTTTCCTTGTCTCATCGTCATCTTCGTCGGCGCACGGCACAGCACAAACTCACAAACATCGCGCACCAGATGAGCCTACCGCGCATATCATGACAAAAAGTCCCCCCTTTCAAAGGTTTTTTTTTTTAAAAAAAACTGTCCAAAGTGCGCGGGAGACAAGACTTAAGACAAACAAATGTACAGAACTGTTGCACCAAGAGAATAGTCTGTATGTGAGAGTCCCTAGGCATATGGTACATTATTACATTAATGTTGTATAGCTAGCACCTACACCTGTAGCCTGCTCATATAATCAGCACCTACGTTCTCTGATCCTTTGATATGCTCAACGCGAAAGGTGTACTCTTGCAATGCGAGACTCCAGCGCAAGATCCGGCTGTTCAAACGCTTGGCTTGAGAGAGGTATCGTAGCGGTTGATGGTCAGTCTGAACGACGAAGCTTGACTAGTGACTTCTGGTTGACGTTCTTCGTAGCGCTTGAGCATGTTTATGTGAAACATTTTCGTGGTGTGCCCAAGGTCCAACCAATAGTCGTGGTCATTCTTTTTTCCTGTAACCGGAAATGGCCCCTTCCAGTGCATAAGAAGCTTGTTTTCCCTGGTTGGGAGCAATATAAGAGTCCGGTCACCAACTTTGAGCTGTCGGGTTTTGGAGGTTTGGTCATAATACTTCTTTTGCGAGTGTTGAGCTCGGGAGAGATTCTCTTGAGCCAGCTTCAAGGTGCGTTCAAGACGTTCTCTCTGATCAAGCACGTATCCGTAAGTAGTCTTGATATCTTCCTCTAGGTCTTCCCCTGTCCAGAGTTCCTTCAATATATCCAGGGGTCCTCGGACGTGCCGGCCGTAGATCAGTTCAAACGGCGAGAAGCCCATACTGGCCTGAGGTACTTCTCGATAGGCGAATAACAGAGGCGCAAGAAATCGGTCCCATGACTTCGGCTTCTCTTGGCACAACTTGCGCAACATCTGTTTCAAAGTGCCGTTGAACCTTTCGACCAAGCCATTGCATATCGGGTGGTAAGGCGTCGAGCTCAAATGTCGAATAGCAAGCAGAGCATTCACCTCTTCCATCAGGCCTGACGTGAAGCAGGATGCTTGATCACAGAGGATCTCCCGTGGAAATCCTATTCGAGAGAACATCTCCAGTAGTCCATCTGCTACTGTTGCCGAATCAATTGCGGGCAAAGCCACCGCGTCCGGGTACCGAGTGGCGAAATCCACAAGGGTAAGAATGTACCGATTACCCTTCTTTGAAATCGGCGTCAGAGGTCCAATGATATCAACGGCCACACGTTCGAATGGCGTGTCAATCAAAGGCATCCGTCCAAGAGGCGCCTTGCCTACTTTGCCTTTGGGATATGTCCTTTGGCATGCGTCGCATGATTTTACGAATCTTCGTACCTCCTCCTGTACACCGGGCCAATAAAACGACTCCAAAACTCGGTCCTTCGTCTTCTTGATACCCTGGTGACCAGATATCGGTGATTCATGTGCCAAGTGCAACACATGGACACGCAACGCCTTTGGAACCACCGCTTGTTGAACTGATTTACCCGGAGTCAAGTGGTAAACGCGGTACAAGATTTCTTTCTCGAACATAAATGAGTGGTATGTGGCTCCTTTACCGCGGATGAGGGTGTCGACTTTCGCCCTACAAACATCCAGCGACCGGTCTTCCTCTTGTTTTTGGCGAAATGACTCCTGTGTCACCTCTAAGTTTCCAAATTTAGCAGTCGTGAGCTTCCGGCGATGTCCTTTGCTTGAAACACCAACCATGACTGTGCTATTCGTCCCGCATCCATCCTTGGGTTTCTCTTCAGAATTCAATGCCTGATTAGTTTCCGACTTCAGGCTCGCTGACTCCTTCCACGTTGAGTCGGGGTCATTAGCGTCACGGGCGCCGGGAACATTTCCTACGATGACATCGTAAAGTGGCGACGTCATGCATTTGACTATCGCCTTTCCGGTGAAATAGGGCGATAGAATCCGTCCTTCTGCTTCCGGTACCTCGATGCAACTACCATCGGCCAATAAAATAGTGGCGGTGGTACCCGTAAGCGCATCATCGGGAACGAGGGAACGTCGCACGACCAGGGTGTTGCTTCCAGTATCCCTCAAGACTGATACAGTATGTCCAAACACTTCTCCCTGTAACACCGGCAAGTTTCGTGTAGCTGTTGCGGTGCGCGTTCGGAGTGCACTAGCAACATATTCATCTTG